AATTCAGCGCTCCACCATCCGTCCATCCCCCCATTCCTCCGTCCGTCCATCCATCCATTCATCATCGTTCGTCCATTCAGCCATCCATACCTCCGTCCACCATTCTGTCCGTCCTACCATTCATCCATCCATCTGGCCATCAACCGTCCATCAATTCAGCGCTCCACCATCCGTCCATCCCCCCATTCCTCCGTCCGTCCATCCATCCATTCATCATCGTTCGTCCATTCAGCCATCCATCCCTCCGTCCACCATTCTGTCCGTCCTACCATTCATCCATCCATCTGGCCATCAACCGTCCATCAATTCAGCGCTCCACCATCCGTCCATCCCCCGTCCGTCCGTCCATCCATCCATTCATCATCGTTCGTCCATTCAGCCATCCATCCCTCCGTCCACCATTCTGTCCGTCCTACCATTCATCCATCCATCCATCCATCAACCGTCCATCAATTCAGCGCTCCACCATCCGTCCATCCCCCATTCCTCCGTCCGTCCATCCATGCATCCATCCATGCATCCATCCATCCATCAACTGACCGTCAATTCAGCGCTCCATCATCCGTCCGTCCGTCCGTCCGTCCATCCATCCATCCATCCATCCATCCATCCATCCATCCATCCATCCATCCATCCATCAACCGTCCGTCAATTCAGAGCTCCATCATCCGTCCTTCCTCCATTCCTCCGTCCATCCATCCAATTATGCATCCATCCATCTGTCCACCAGTTTGTCCATCCCTCCATCCTTCCGTCCATCCATCTATTCAGCCATGATTTGCAATGAATTTTAACAGTTTTTATATTTTTCTGAAAATGTTTCGAGATAGGACTGAAACCTCTAAACTTTATGTAAAATAATTCACTCACTGTAGCATGCCTTACCCTCCTATAAATAAATGAAAAAATATGACCCTAGTTTAAGGTAATAATTAAAAAGAGGGATATCAGCTGAAAAAAAATTCTAAAAGAATTTTCATAAGATGTTGGCAATATTTAAACAGAGGAGAAAGTAGTGCTTTATTCATGAAAATCCTACAATCTTTACAGTCAGATTTTTGATGTCTCCAAAATGTACACCTCTGAAACAATTCTCTGTTCTGATGATTTCAGAGAAGAGGAACGAAGAATTTATATTTTGCAAAAGAAATTCCTTGTTTTCTGTTTTCAAATTCAAAAAAGATATACTAGTAATTTCTCCTCAAAACAGCAAATGTTACTATCTTAAGAAATAATTTGTTACAAGTTAAAATGAAGTCAAAATGTATTATTGGAGTTGTGAGATTAATTTAATCAAATTCATTACATATTTGCACCAAAATATAGCAAAGCACATTCCAATTCTACCCATGACACAATAGTTATTTTATACGCCAAACAATCGTAATATTTAGGTATTTCGGTTAGTTGGTAACAGATGCCTTCTTCTCCTGTGCATGTTACAAAAA